ACAAAGAAGATTTATTTTTTGTAATAGTCTGTGCATTTTTTAAACAAAAGGTTTCAAATTGATCAAGTATTTTCTTACAATATTTTTTATCAATAGATTTAGATCAATAAAATGCAACATTAAGAGATTGCAATAAATGGATAGAGTTACCAGTTTGTGGAACAAGATACTGTTTCTTTCTCAACAAGATATTTTCTTTAGTAAACTCAAGTTTTTCAATGTAAAAATTACTTTGATTAAACTAATAGAAATGTTCGGACTTCGGTTCTTGTTGTGCATAAGTCGTCAGCTTTATAAACATAACCACAGGCACTTGACCAGAAACACTAAACACGATTGACGTAACATAACATGTTGCATATTTGTAAAAAGTTTGGACTTACCATGTGTTTTCGGACTAAGTTTTTAAACTTTATTATACAAAGTGACAACTTGCACCCAATGAACATTTAATAATTTTTTTTATCTAATAATGTTTATCGTTACCACAAAATTATCATTCAGTATAATTTATATACTGCCTTGTATCAATTTTTTTCATATAAAAGTGGGATAGTACTTCTATGAAATTATAAACAAAACAAATTTAAAGATAAAACAGTATTTTCAACAAATATAATTCAATATATATATATATATATATATATATATATATATATATATATATATATATATATATATATATATATATATATATATATATATATATATATATATATATATATATATATATATATATATATATATATATATATATATATAACCCACCACATCTACTGGTCTAGATGGCATTCTCAATGCTTTCCTAAAGAATTGTGCTAATAGTTTATCGATTCCCTTAAGCCATTTAATACCTCATCTAAAGATGGTGCTATACCGCTAGACTGGAAAGTAGCAAGCGTTATTCCAATTCACAAAAAAGGACCAACAGTTGACCGAGGTAGTTATAGACCTATCTCCTTGACATCTACTTGTTGTCGTGTAATGGAAAGAATCATTAATAACAAACTGATTAATTATCTCTTACTCAATAACCTAATCACAAAAGAGCAGCATAGTTTTATTCGTAAACGTAGTACCTGTACTAATATTCTAGAAAGTCTTCATGACTGTACTTTAAATTTTCAGCGCCGTATTCCAACAGATATTATTTATTTTGATTTTAAGAAAGCTTTCACATCCTAAGTTACTAATGAAATTACCTGCTTACGGAATAGTTGGCAATCTTCTGAATTGGCTAACTAATTTTCTACACATGAGATCACAGGTGGTAAATTTAAACAACGTTACTTCCCATGCTATATCTGTAACAAGCGGTGTTCCACAGGGGAGTGTTTTTGGACCTACTCTATTCTTATTGTTTATAAATGATGTGAGCCACATTAATAAACAGCTTGATGTCAAACTTAAACTTTTTGCTGATGACATTAAATTATATTCAGTCTATGATGTACGTGGCCTTCAGTCAGAACTTCGCTGTTAATTGTTTGTACGAATGGAGTTGTACTTGACAACTCCAAATAGCAACTGAAAAATCCTTTGTCTGTACTATTGCTAACCAGAGTCAAAACATAGCCCAGCGTGTTTACACCATAAATAACCATGAACTTGCCCATTAACTGTATAAGAGATCTTGGAGTTACCATTGATAGAAATCTCAAATTCAATTAACATACCAATCTTATCGTACATAAAGCTATGTCAAGAGCTTTTCTTATTTTAAAATCTTTTTATTCACGAGATAGATTGCTGATGGTTAAAGCCTACTGTACTTATGTACGACCTATGCTTGAATATTGCTCTTCAGTATGGTCACCTTACACTATATGCCTGATTAATAAAGTTGAGAAAACGCAGCGTTTCTTAACTAAAAGAATTGCTGGTCTGTGGTCAGTTTCCTATGAAACTGACCACGGAACAGCCATACTAAAGCCTAACACGTTAGAATATCGACGAGTGTTTAAAGATTTAGTTTTATGCTACAAAATTCTTAACGGTAAACTGGACACTGACCTATCAAACATTCTTATTCTCAATTCTTACTTGAATAATCGCGGTCATAACTTTAAACTGTACAAACACCATTGTAGTTTAAACAACACAAAGTGTTTCTTTTCTAATCGAGTTGTTAATGTATAGAATAGTTTTTATCGGAGGATGTGGTGTCTGCATCGTCTGTCTTGATGTTTAAGAAATGTCTTGCTGTACTGCTTTGTTCATGTTAATACAATTTTGTTGTAACTTGTCCAGCACTTGATACAATTTAACATTTCAGTAAAAAAAAAAAAAAAATTTTGTCAATGTATACTCAGTGTTAGTGGCCTTCGGGTCCTTCTGTTGTTTTCAAATAAATAAATAATATATATATATATATATATATATATATATATATATATATATATATATATATATATATATATATATATATATATATAAACAATGTATACACACACATATATACACATACACACAAAGACACACACATATACACACATACACACAATTGTATGCATGTGTATCTTTGTACAAGTCTTTGTACAAAGACACACACATACATAAAAAGACACACACATAAACACACACACAAACTATATGTGTATGTGTGACTTACTGTTTATACGCATGATATTTTAATTTTTAATCACAATAATATTATGTACAATACTTAATATATTATATTCAATACATGTATGACAAAGGAAATTTTAAAATTGTTTCATGTTTCTGACTATTTATGTAGTGGAGTTACTTTAAACATTATTCAAAGTTACCCGTCTACTATTTCAAATTATTGGGTGTTCTGTTGAATGTTTTTTCCGAAAACCAAACTGTTTTGTGTAAAATAAATTATTTTCATTAAAATGGTTATAGATTCTATTATAAATTACACGTTCAAATATTTTTGAAAATAGAGAAAGTACTGATACAGGTCTATAATCAGAGATTTCAGATTGATCATTATTTTTGTAAATTGGACATACTTTTGCCAACTTTAATGCTTCAGGAAAAATTCCTTCTTTTATTGAAAGTTTTATAATATGGAACAAAGGTTTTGAGATGTATTTTTTGTTTGAAATAACTATATTACTAGAAACATCATCGAAACCAGGTAATTTATTCTTTTTTAAAAAGGAAAAAGCAATTTCATACTCTTCATGAGAAAAGTCGCGATCTTGCAGTATCGCGCCATTTAAAGATTTAAGATATTTTTGAAAAGAATTTGGTGTAGTTATGATTTTTTTAGCAAGGTTAGGGCCAATGTTTGTAAAATATTTATTTAAGTCATTTGAGATTTGTAATGGACAATAGGTATCAGTTTTATTGATATTTATTCTTTGAGATAGTATAGCCGTATTTATTTTCTTTCTTCCCATTATATCGTTAATTAAATCCTATGTTTTTTTCACTTCGAATTTGTTTTTTTTAATTTCTTTACTATAATATGTTTCTTTAGCTTTCTTGAGAAGATTTTCGTAAAAGAATTTGTATTTTTTGTAACTTTTTTCATTAACTTCAGTTCTGTTTTTTAAAAATTTATTGTAAAGTTTTTGTTTATTTCTAGAACATTTTATAAGAGTTTTATCCATCCAAGGATTCAATATTGTTGTTTTTTTTAGTTATTTTGAATTCATACGAACACGTTTCGTTATAAATGTCAAGAAATGTGTTTAAGAAAATATTAAATGCTTTATTTGTATTATTATAATTAAAAACTTGATTCCAGGTCTCTTGCTTTAGTTTATCGGAAAGATTATTCTTATTAACTTCTGATAGGTTGCGTTTTTTTAGAGTTATAACTTTGGGATCCCCGTTGGATGGGGCTTTGAAAGGATTTATTATAACGTATATTGGGAAGTGATCACTAATATCAGTTTTAAAAATACCTGTCTCAAATGACGCTTCTATATAATTGTTAATAAAGATATTATCAATTGCAGTTGCCGAATTTTTAGTTATCCTAGTTGGTTTATTTATAACTGGTAAGATATTATATTTAAAAAGCATGTCAGAAAAAGATTTTGTTTTTGGATTATTTTAATATGTCAGAGCGTTCAAATTTATGTCGCCGGCAATATACAAAAATTTTTTTTCAATATTTATTTTTGAGACTGTATTTTTTATGAATTCTTCAAACAATTTAATTTTTCCACTCGGTAGACGATATACGCACCCAACTAAAATGTTTTTATCTTTGTCATTTATTATTTCAATAAATGGACTTTCATTATTAAGATTTGACAAGCATAGTTTATTTTTTATTTTAAAGGAATATTTGTTTAAAACATAAACACCAACTTCTCCGTTTTTATTACTTTCTCGCGGTTGACTAATTAATTTATAGTTAGGCAATTCGTAAATAGAATTAGAATCAAGTGTATTATCATGCCAGGTCTCTGAAAGAGATTTGATATATATTTTTCGTTCTAAGAAATGACAAAACGTCGGATTTTCTGCCTGACCTTCTAGATAAAATTATGGATTAATGGTAGAATACAATATCAATATCGTTAAGGTCGCATATAACTAGAAAAGTTGTTACTAACAATTTAATTGCTTACTTTATCATATATTTATCTTTTAGTTAAAGGACAATTTAAGTCAAACTCCATATTGTCGTCAATAATATTTTTTTTATCTTTGCACAACTTTTGCTATGTATTATTCAGTTAAGACAACAACTTTTCAAAATAAGTTTTATTTAAAAGAAATGTCTAGAAGGTAAGTCGAACTACCTTAAAAATTTGGACTGGCCTTAAACAACCTGAGTAGACGTCTAATTATCGTCTTTTCATAATTCACAGACCAGACCATTTAACGGAAATATGTCGTAGTAAACAAAATATCATACAGACGCTATAATATTTTAAAGCTTGGTTTCCAATAGTTGTAGAAATGTCTTACAACAGTTGTACAACATACCTTTGATTTGTTGTGCGGTAACTTGTTGTGCAACGTTGTGTTTCCATTATAATGAATTGCTGCTAAATTTTTTATATAATAACAAAAAAAATGGCCGCCACTAGAAATTATGCTACTCTAAACTATCGACTTTTTGTTATACTTTTAATTTTAAAACGCCGAAAAAGGATAAAAAAAAGAAAACATCAGTTTTGGGTGAGAGAAATATTTAAAAAACGTGTTCAGCAAGGTGCATTTAGTTCTTTGGTGAAAGAAATGAAGCTATTTGATAGAGAATTTTTTTATCGATATTTAAGAATGTCTCCTGACAGACTTGAACATCTTTTGTCATTAATTGGATCTTCATTAACGAAAAAGTATTGTCCCAGTAGAGATTCTATATGTCCGTCGCAAAGATTAATTATAACAATTCGATACCTTGCTACAGGAGAATCACAACAAACTCAGTCATTTTATTTTTGAGTTGGCAGAGCTACAGTTTGCCATATAATTGAAGAAACTTGTTGTGCAATATGGAAAGTTCTCAAGAAAGTCTTTCTACGAGCCCCAAATGACGTAAAAGAATGGCAAAATATTATTAAAGAGTTTGATCAAAATTGGAACTTTCCACAATGTATAGGAGCTATAGATGGAAAGCATGTACGCATTGAAGCACCTGCAAAATCTGGATCTTCTTTTTATAACTACAAAGGGTTTAACAGCATGGTTTTATTAGCAATTTGTGATGCTAAATATTGTTTCACAATGGTTGACATTCGGGCTTACGGAAGGGATAATGATGCTGCCATTTTAAATGCGAGCACGTTTGGGAGAACATTTAATAAGGGTTATTTTAATTTACTAAAAATTTCTGAATTTGATCCTAAAGTTCCATCGGTCCTTGTTGGAGATGACATATTTGCACTTAAACCATGGTTAATGAAACCGTACCCAGGTAAAAATCTTACTGTTCAGCAAAGAGTTTTTAATTATCGCTTATCTAGAGCACGTAAAACAATCGAAAATAGTTTTGGAATTTTAGCAGCTAGATGGAGAATATACAGATCTCCAATTAAAGCAAAGCCATTGAAAGTGGAACATATAATAAAGGCTACTGTTTGTCTTCACAACTATTTGCGTTTAACAGATGGAGCGCATTATATTCCTACTGGTTTTGTTGATAGTGAAAGTCATTCAGGAATTGTTATTCAAGGAGATTGGAGAAAAGAATTACAAGAAAAAGGGTGTTTGCTTGATTTCTCAAAATCAACAAGTAATAGATCTGTTTTTGATGCAATTGCAATAAGAAATACTTATAAAGATTATTTTAATTCATGTGAAGGAAGCCTTTCGTGGCAAATGGACTATTTTCAATCGTGTGGCCACAATCCAGTTAATAACTAGAATGTATGTAATAAACAAAACTTCCTAATAAAAGAAAATATGTTATATTTAACAAACCAATAATTTACTTTTTTTTTTTATAGTTAAAAGATATACTTCAACAGTTACCTAATAATTAATAAAAGATTAACATTTTATACCTCCATGATTTTCTAAAATAAGTTATAGTTTATCACATCAATAGACTTAACAAAATAGTAAGCTAAATTTAGTCTATTCCAATGATTAATCAAAAGTAACTTCACATCTAATTTTACTTAAAATGTTATGTTTCTTGCATCAATAGGTTAAAAAGAATAGTAAGCCAGAATGTGTCTTTTTAAACAAATTATCAACAGTTACTTCATAGTTTGTTTACTTCTAAAGTACAGTTTTTCCACATTGACCAGTTAAGTAGAGTAATAGGCTAGATAGTTTCACCTCTGTCTGGAAACTCTAATTTAAGAAGTAATGTTTGTATTTGAACTTTAGCCAAGGCTTTAGAATAGTTGTTTAATCGCTTAAGTTGCGGAACTAATGATTTCATAAATAAATAATCTTCATCCTGCTCTTCAAGAGTCGGATTTTCAATATTGGAGTTAATTTTTTCTAATGTTTTCACTAAGGTTCTATCAAGTAAATCATCAGAATCCAACTTTTTTCTTTTTTTTTTTGTTAATAGCGTGAATTGTTGACTCACTTGACTCTCCTTGCACGCAAGTATTTATAGAGCTATTTTCTGTGGTCACATCTTCAGATATATGATCATTATTAAATGGATGATGAGTATTTTCAACTTGCTCACATACTATGTCAATGTTTTCTTCCAAATTTGATGTTTCTAATCTGGAGTCAGAAGGTAAACAAATACTGGTTGTTGTTTCGCGATGATCTATAAAAGTATTTAGCCAATCGAGCTGAAGAAACTGAGGTGGAACTGAGTTCCTTCCAGAACCTGATGGAATATTTTTTTTTTATTTCAGCCACCTTCCATAACTACTTCGAATGCTTTTATATTTCTCTTCCGCTTGATTAGGAGATAAGTTTGAAAGACGACCAACTTCTTCCCATGCATTTTTCTTTTTCCATTTATCTTTAAAATCTTTATTAAACTTGTCATACAATACTGGAAATTTTTGAACTTCATTCATAAAACCTGCTTTAGATAGTTTTTCAAACACACATAATGGAGTTGTCGTCATATTTTGTAAAAAATGAAGATGTTTTATTAACTTTACAGTTTTAGTGCAGTTTCCAATAAAAAATTAACTGCGCGACCAAAAAAACGGTTGCAGAAATATAATTTTTTCAATACTCACAACCGGAGTTGTACAACTTGAGTTTTGTTGTACAACCGACGTAAAGTTGTGCAACTTACGGTATAAAATGTTTCCATTATAAAACAAAGGTGTTGTACAACTGTTGTACGACATTTCTACAACTATTGGAAACCAAGCTTAAGTGTCTCTACCGAGTAAGTAAATATTAAACAGCGAGATCTCGTTTAGGTAAGCCAATCCGGCTATCCGGGCTAGCCCGTCTCATATAAACAGTCCCTTATAAATTAGTAGGCTACAAACAGTTTTTAGATTCACTTATTGTTAACTGAAACATATGATTTTTTTTTTCCTGAAATTAATTTTTTTTTCTTTTTTTTTTGCTGAGTTTATCAAGCATAAATTTTATAGTTTTGTAGTTGTTAAATAAATAAAAGTATAATAAATTACCAACTTGAAGTTTTTTAAACTTCCTTTCTAAGCGAAAAGTAAAATATATAGATGAGTTTCAAATGTTTACATTCTCGTTTTCAAAAAAAGATGCGCGCGCAAACTTGTAGGTAGAAAAACAAATAATCAGAAATTATCAAGTAAAAACATTGAGACATTTATGTTAAATTTATTCACTGATTGTTATTTACTCACTGATTCACTAATTTAACAAGAAATAAATTATGCCAGCCAGTTGTTGTGCACTTGGTTGTTCAAACAAATTTAAAAAAGAATGAGGATTAAAATTTTATAAATTTCCATCAGGAAAAACGCCTTTTGAGAAAAGAAGGCGAATAGACTGGACTAAAGCTATTAATCGTATAGATTAGGACAGTTGGGAAAGTGAAAAGATTAGTAAAGAACGAGTATGCAGTGCACATTTTGTATCAGGTATGTTCTTTTAATGAATGAGGTTAGCTAATAAAACTATATACGTAGTAATACGTTTAATAAGATTCTTTAAATTAGTAATTTAAGACTAAAGCTATTAATCGTATAGATTAGGACAGTTGGGAAAGTGAAAAGATTAGTAAAGAACGAGTATGCAGTGCACATTTTGTATCAGGTATGTTCTTTTAATGAATGAGGTTAGCTAATAAAACTATATACGTAGTAATACGTTTAATAAGATTCTTTAAATTAGTAATTTAAAGAATCTTATTAAATATTTGGTACATTTATTAATTCAATTAAATATTATATTTTATTATAATATTTAATTAAATTAATATTTAATTAAATATTATAATTGTTATATTTTAGGGAAACGTTCTGATGACCCATCTGACGTTGACTGGAGTCCATCTGTATTTAATCACCTTGGAGATGCTACGATTTCTAGTTTGATTAAAAAAAGGAAGAAAAAAGATTGCTATAAAGCTTTATGTAAAAAACGATCTTTCAAAAAATCAATACTGCCATCTAGCCAATCAAATGATATAGAGCTTGATAACTATAAAGATAATATAAATAATGACATAAATCCACCAAATGACAAGTCAGCTATTTCTAAATTTTGTCAGCATGATACTTATAAAGTAGAAGTGGAAACTCTTAATATTCAGTTAATGCAATACAGAAATGAATTGATCGAGAAATCTAATGAAATTATTGAACTTAAAAAAAAGAATGCCAGACTAGACCATTATAAATATATTTCATACCAAAACCAAACAGATGAACAAATGAAGTTTTTTTCAGGCTTGTCTCGAACTACGTTTATGTGGCTCTTTGAAAGAGTTAAAAATTATATTAAAAAAGTTCACTTAAGGTTATTGTTGGAGGACCATCTCTTAATTGTACTCATAAAACTAAGATTAGGTCTATTAAATAAAGATATTGCTTTTCGATTTAGACTAAGCCCAGCAGTAGTTTCAAAAATTTTTAGAACAATAATACCAATTTTTTCTGCTAGAGTTGTTAATCTCATTGTTTGGCCAGACCGTGGAATAATAAGGAGTAACCTTCCTATATGTTTTTAAAAAAAGTTCAAAGATTGTGTTTGTATTATTGATTGTACTGAAATATTTATTGAAAGGCCGAAAAATTTAACTTCACGATCACAAACTTGGTCTAATTACAAACATAACAATACCATTAAATATCTTATTGGTATTACTCCGACTGGGGCAGTTAGTTTTTTATCTCCTGGCTGGGGTGGTCGTGTTTCAGACAAACAAATAACATTTGAGTCTAACTTTTGTCAGAAGCTTTATCCTGGTGACTGTGTTCTTGCTGACAGAGGATTCAAAATTAAAGATGAACTAAATGCTGTTAGGGCAACGTTAAAAGTTCCAGCATTTACGAAAGGTAGACAACAATTATCTGGATGAGAAGTGGATACATCTAGACAGATATCTAATGTTCGCATACATGTAGAAAGAGTGATTGGTCGAATAAAAAAGTTTCGCATTGTTCATATGACTGTGCCAATCACCCAAGTGGATTTGTTAGATGATATTATGATTATTATTTGTGCTCTTGTAAATCTCAATATGAGTGTAGTTACTTGATTAATGTAAATGTAAAAATAAATTTACAGAGAAGCAATTTTTACAGTTTTAAAATCTAAATACATATTAAAAGAAAGTATTATTTGTTCTGGTTTATTGCTTGGTTTTACATTCTTTGCATAACCAATTAGTAATTTTTGGAGCTCTTTTCAGTCCAACACAAGCGTAAAGAAACCATTCATATTTGCAGTTGGTAAAATTGCATGGTATCATTTTTCCAAAACTTGGTCTTTGGCATATACAGTAAACTTTTCTACTATTTATTGTCTATTTATCATTACGACGTGTTACAAGCTATGGCAATAAAATGTTTTTGAAATACATAAAAAATTTATCAATCATTTTGAGAATAAGATCTGTATCTTTTTCAATTGTTAAAATAAAACTTTGTTCACCTTTAACTGCAGGGAAGAATACAAGAAAATCAGCCTCAGAACAGAGACATACATGTAGTTGTAATTGAATTTGGTAATAATATTTGTGATCCTTTTTTATAATGAGATCTTTATTGATTGGAAAATCTTTATCTTCTTCCCATCCTTCAAAGCCATTTTGATATTTATAAGGACATTTGATCTCTAAAATTTTAGTTTGATGACAACTGCATCTAATCAATGCATCTGGAGAAGCTCCAACGAAAGGGTATTGTTCTCTTACATGAAAACCAGTATCTAAAAATTGGAAATTTATATGACTATATTTTACTTTTTCAATATAATATTTTCGTGCAATATGTTCCGTTTCTGTTCCATATTGTGTGTACTTATTAACAGAATTTTTTGCATAATGCATAATTTTTTTGACCAATGATTCACTTGACATATAGTTTGTGTTAGAATTGTATACTTCTTTTGCATTTGAAGCTGTTATACGCCCTGCACGGTGCATCATCCAAACAGGATTCAATGATTGTGTTTTTGTTTGGTTGCATAAGTTATTATACTGCCTTTGATTATTATCATTTTTATAATCGTTATATATACTTTCGCAAAAAATGATCAACTTATCCTCAGATAAATTTATACTTGTTGGATCATATATTGATGTGAGAGTTTCAGGAAGTGTTGTCTCTTCTGTCTCAGATGAAGTTTCAGTAGCACTAGAGTCATATTCAACAGACATAAATTCTGTAAGATTAATACTTGTAAAAATTGCAGATTTTAGGTTAATTTTAAAAAGTTTTTCCATCTCTTGAGCTGTTAAACGGTGCTCACCATCCATTGGATTATTGTTGGAAAAGTATTTTTTTAACGGTAGCTTTGCAACCAAATCTTTTTGTAAAAGATTTTTTTGAGATCGCTGAAAATTTATGAGCTGCAATGGAGCAGGCTGAACAGATTTTTTGCATTTCTTCCAAGTACACAAGATACTTGTAGGAGGTGTTTCGTGTAATTTTAAACGTGAAGCTGCTTCTAATTTAAATAATAATGCTACTACATGGCTACAAGCTGATCCTAGTCCAGCCAAACATGAACAATTAGCAGTTAGTACCCAACCAAGTTCTTTCTCAAGACAAGTCCATACATCATACATCTTTTTGTTGTTTTGTCTTTGACTTGGCAAGACCTATTACAAAAAGATTATTTCTATATAAAAATTATTATTTATTCGTCTCTAGTAAAAATTTATTATTTAATTATATATTAAAAATATCCTTTGATTTTATAAAACAGAATTTGCTCCTATTCGATATTTTATTATAAAAACATTCTTGAACATGACTACAAGTGAAGTAATCATATGCTTCCAAGGATTTATAGGCTCTGATTGATTCCTTCGTGTATATGCTAGGTGTATCGATTAAATATTGAGTAACGTCTTGCCATGTAATGTTTGGCAAATGATTGAGATCGTTGCTCCATTCTTTTAATTCAATTATAAACGGATCCGGTAAAGCTTCCCCATTTTTAAGAGTCAACTTCTTTGTGTAGTCTATTGCTTCTTCAAATTTTAGACTTTTAAAATATTCACTCATCATATTGTTAACTATTTTGAAAAGTTAAGTGTTATTGTTGACTTTTAAACAAAAGTTTTTAATAACAATAAAAACTTTTACCTCCAAATTTATATGAAATGTTTGTAATTAATTTTAATTATTATTCTTTTAATAATTTTTTAAAGAAAAAATTAATTTTAGGGTACAAATATTGATTTTAGGGTAGAAAAGAAATACAATAAACACAATTAAGTTCTTGCGTTTTTATTTTTTCTACCTACAAGTATGCGCGCGCATGTTGTTTACAAAAAGACGTGACGTCGCACGGAAACTCATCTATATTAGCTCAAAATATTTTGTTAAAAAAATATTTTGTTAATTTTAAAAAACTTGCTCCGGGAGAGGTTCGAACTCTCGACCTTCGCATTTCTATGTCGATACTGACTTATAAGTACGACGCGCTAACCGACTGTGCCACCGGAGCTTGGTATTACTGCAGTTGTTGTTAAATATATTAAAAGTTTTAATTTTTTATAAGTTATTTTTAATATATACAGTACTGTGAATATGTTTTAGACCACTTACATTTTCTCAAAAAATCCAAGAGAATTCTTCCTTAATATTTAAGTTTTGAATTCTATATTATAAAATTATTAAAATACATATATTTCACACAAAATATGGAACAATAACAAACTTTTTAATGTCACACTTCATAAAAAAACCCTTAATATTTACTATGTCCTCCTTTTGCCTTAATCACAGCCGATATTCGCCGGGAAATAGATTCATACAAATTTGTTATAAAATCCTGCGGTATGTTGTGCCATTCTCTTTGAAGTAGTTGAAAACATTCTTCAGCATTTCGGGGAGCATGTTCGACCTTTTTCCTGTCCAAGTAATCCCAAATATGCTCGATTATATTCAAATCTGGACTCTGGGGAGGCCAGGTCATCATTTCCAGTATTCCTTCTTCTGCCATTTCATTTAAATAATTTTTTGCCACTCGGGAACAATGTTTTGGGTCATTGTCCTGCTGCAGAATAAAATTATGGCCCATTAGTCTCATTCCGGATGGTATAGCATGCTGTCTTAGAATATCCACATAACGTTCCCCGGTGAGTCGTCCCTCTATTTTGATCAGATCACCTACCCCAGATGAAGATAAACAGCCCCAAACTTGTAAAGAGCCTCCTCCGTATTTAATAGTAGGGTTTAAACACTCGGGCTGATAGGCTTCTCCTATTCTTCTTCGAACATATTGACGTCTTTTCGTTCCAAAAATTTCAAATTTGGACTCATCAGTGTACAGAACCCGATTAAACATTTCCTGGGTCCAATCTTGGTGTTGTTTTGCATATTTAAGTCGTTTTTCTCTATTGCCACGCCGTAATAAAGGTTTTCGAATAGCAACGCAGCCTCGTAATCCTGATTTGAGTAGGTGTCGTCGAATACAAGAAGAGCTAACATTTTTCCCTGTTGCTGTATTAATGTCCTTTGCCAATTCGGTGGATGTTTTTTCCTGTTTCTTAAAGAAAGGGTTTTTTAATATTTATTGTCATCTTTTGTTAGCTTAGGAGGTCTGCCACTTTTCTTTCTATTTCGAAGGGAGCCAGTTTCTCTAAACTTTTTAATGATTTCTCTAATAGCAGTCTTCGAATATCCTGTTTTGGAAGAAATTTGGCGCTGCGAATAACCTTCTTCGTGAAGCACAATAACTTTCTGTCTCTCTATTAAAGATATTTTACCCATAGCAACACTTAATTAATCTAAAAATGTAAACTAATAACTTTATTTAATTATTTTTAACTATTTGTTTAACTGTATTCATAAAAAATAACAACTTTTTAAAAAATGTACCAAAACCGATTATTATTGTATTAAATTCACTCTATGACTACATTTTATACTGTTAAAAACTTAAATGAACGAATATGAACCTGAACCAGTAAGAAAAAAATCGAAAATTTTATTTTTATGTATTATTTAGATGAACGCTTGGTCTGCAGTTATTATGACAATTATCGTTTTAATAAATAAACAAACATATCCCTCATGTTCCTCATAAATTTTTGTTTATTTATTCAAGATAATATATTCTTTCAACCTTTCTCAAATATTACTCAACTTCAGTATGCTTAAAAAAAAAAATACACAGGAAAAAAATTGAAAATACAACTAATTATATAAGTGGTCTAAAACATATTCACAGTACTGTATGTAGCAGTTAAGGGTCGTCTATAAAATACGTACGCTCGGAGAGGAAGAGGGGGTGTACAAATGGCGTTTCTGAGATATGAGGGCAGTAGGTCAATTATGGAGTAAAAGTATGGAGACACTAAATTAAAAAAAATACCATAAAATGTTGGGCTGAAAGTTTAAACGCGTAGATATTTTTAGGGAGGTAGAGAGTAATCAAAAAAGCGTATGGCAACTTGCGGGGTGGGGAAGGGGGGAGGACTAGCGAAAAAAAAAGCGTACATATTTTATGGACAACCCCTTACAAGTGTTGCTTTTATTGCAATACTTACTGCGGCGTTTTTGGTATTGTATTGCTAATTTTTTTGTTGTGTGTGTGTGTGTGTTTGTATTACATAATAGAATCCTTTACAACGTGTAAAATCCGTTGATTCAAGATTCAGCCTAGATAAAAAAAAATAATAATAATGAAAATAACATACAAAGGTATCTGATCAATGTCGGATCCGTGAAATTTTTGTGGTGGTGTGAGTTATGTAAAAAATTTTGTATTTTGTATCAGATTTGCGCTCCTGAAAAATAAATGAAACACCATTTATAAGATATTTTAGGACTTTCAGATTCTTTTGAAGGGGAGGGGGTAGGAATAGGGCCGCCGAGAGCTGTCACGCCGCCTGGGACAGCAATCCTAAATAGCGCCTTTATTTATCAAATTTTCCCTATATTATACATGCAGAACCTTTTTCTTTTTTAGTACCTACAATTTATTTGGCGCTTATTGGATATCTTCCGCTGGGGACAAACTGTTCCGGTGGCCCCCCCTCTCGGCGGCCCTGGGTAGGAAGGAGGATGCATGGCTTAACCCCCTTCCCTCTCCCCTGGAGAGGGAAGGGGGTTAAGCCATGCATCACTGAAGATAGAAGATAGAAGCCATACGTCACTGAAGATAGAAGATAGAAGATCTAAACGGCCATAACGCCAGAGCCTTTTTTTAAAAACAACATGTATACCAGAAAGAAATAATACTTATAATATAAATATACACATTGTATCATAAAATTTCATTATATATGTCTATTAAAAATATTTATATCGTTTTTGTGTTCACATTTGTTTATTATAAGAAAGCACTCAAAGGTGTAAGAATTAAAAAATTAGTTATAAGTATTATATTTAAATATTAAGTTCATTATTTATATTTAGAACAAGAAGAAAATAAATTTTTTTTTTCAAAATTGTAAAACTGTTTTATACTTTTTAAATATATTTTATTATAGTCTATCGAAGAGAGAGAGAGAGAGAGAGAGGAGAGAGAGAGAGAGAGAGAGAGAGAAAGGGATTCAAGGTAGGTATTTTACTTTCGTTTTTAACAATTTTTAACTTAAGCATGAACAAAAAAATAGTTTTTTTTAAAAATGATAAAAAGTATTTCATTGGTTTAATATTTATTTTTTTAGTGATGACAATGGACCAGATAGGTAAAAATTATTTCGTACAAATTATTGATTTTCTGTTATATTATAGTTACGTTTTAAAATTTTTTTAGCTTGCTAAAGGTTAGACCTAAGTATGTATCTTTATTAAACAATTTTAAATTTTTTTTTCAAATGGTTTTATATTAAATAAAAATAATAATTTGATAAATTAAGTTTTCATTATAAAACAAAAAAGAAAACTTGGGTTTCATTGTCAACTGAAGAGTTATTTTGTAAGTAAATTTAGTAATTAATTATTGAAATTTGATTTTAAAGAAGTTGTAAGGATTTTTATTTGTTTAATAATATAAAAAAATCAAATTTTAAATTTGGGAGTAATGGCATATGACGCCAACAATGGCATAAACAGGAAATTCGGTATATTATATAATCATCATTACAATGACAAACTGAGATAGGTTATATTGTACTTTAAAACCTCTATTTGTATCATTCAAATCTTCAACTTCAATTTAAGTTTTTATTTCTTGTAGGTATTTATTTATTGCTCAAAAGAGTTTTTAACTTTATCCAGAGTTATTAGTTGGTCTTAGTTAAACCACTCATATTGAGTAACAACTTTAAGGTAACCATTGCGCATAATGAGTGTTTTTTATAATTTATTACTTTTTTAAATATTAAAATCTTTTCTTACTCAAAAACTTTTTGTTTTTTTGTTTTTATTTTAGATTTAGAGTTGACTCGAAATGGAAAAAAAAAGGAAAGACTGTATTTTTGTGTATTTGGATTGATTTACTTATATTTATATTTATTATTTAACCAATATATATTACTTAAAGATTTTTTAAGTATATCTGTATTGTAAATGTATATAAGAATATGTAATATAATTATATTATTATGTGCTTGTGTATACTTTATCAAAATTGTTAATAATTTTTTAGTTAATAAGTGTTTATTACTTTACTAATTTATTAGTTATTCGTGTTTTTGCTGTGTAATGTAAATCACAGAAATTTTGATATTTTTTATGTAATTTAAAGAAAATTTGTTTTCAGAAAATATTTTAAATATTTTAAATATTTTGTTTAACGATTTAATTTAAACAGAAGTATCCGTTTATTTACGGAAAAGTTCCGGAGCTGCCGATGACCAAACTACCCGTTTTTTAACATTGAGTTTTAACGGAAAAAATCTGTTTGTTAACGGAAACTTCCGTTTACATACGATGGGTTTTTCCGCAGAATAATGGGTAGTTTGGTCATTGGCAGCTGCCGGAACTTTTCCGTAAAAAACGCGCTGTTTTTTACCATTATTAAAATCGTAAAATATTAGGAAATGCTTTAACCAATCACCGTTGTTTGTCCACAAAGCTTTTTAGTTTTAAGTGAGAAAATTCTTTAAAAATGGTTTCTCGAATAAGAATTTGTATTCCTATTCAGGGCCGCTGAGAGATGTCACGCCGTCTAGGACAGCAATCCTGATTGGCACCCTTACCCAGTGGGCACCCGACGTCAATCCGACGTCGGATTTACGTGCGATTTTCATCAGCGATGTCAAAAGACCTATTCCGACGTTGTTCCGATGTCAGTAAAATGACGTCGGGCGATGTCTTTATCTCAACATCCCCTGACGTCGTTTCGATGTATTTTGACGTTGTTCCGACATCTTTTAAAAGACGTTCAAAAAACGTCGCAGTACTGACATCGATCCAACGTCGATAAAAAGACGTCGGGCAACGTCATAATATTAACGTACTCCGATGTCTTTTGACGTCTTCCGACGTCAATCCAACGTCCTTAAAACGACGTCGGAACAACGTCGTAAGACATCGCTGATGAAAATTTAA